CAACAATAAACATTAACAAAAACAAAAACAACAGCAGGCAGGCAGAAGCTGGGGCCTGCTGAGCTGCTTTTGTGCGAGAGGCGTCTCATTAAAAATGGCCACGCCCCTGCAGCTTTAAACATATTAATTATTGGCGAATAATACGCTTATTCAATGTTTAAATTAATATGCATATGCATAAATATATCATTTTTATAAGCGCACATGCAATATGTTAATCGAACTGATACGAATGACAGATTCTCTTGTAGAACGTGGCATGCTTTAATCATATCGGATTGCATATATACATGTATATTTATATATCGGAATGTTCGCTTTGGTAATGCTGAATAATGAATAACAAAATGTGACAGATGAACTCATGACTTTGAACTGATAAGTTTTTCATGTGATATGCAAACATTTCCGATTCGAAATGGAAACGTAAAAAACTTTGCTTTTGAAAGTTAATTTTTAAATATAAACATAGCGCTTTCATGTAGTCAGACTAAATAGTATTGGTTCTGCTTACCATAACTTTTTTATGAGAATATATTCCAGGTTATTGCTGGCAAAATATAAATTATTTGATATGAATTGATTACATAATTCTTATTGTTAGGGAATGTTTTACATAATATTTGCTAAACTATTTTAATCAAATTAAGTTCACTTGTATATTAAAATAGTCTATAAACTAATCTGGCAGTTGTCGAAGCTCGGTTAGCCTTCCACGCCAGCCGACACATAGATCGATTATTGGTTCACAGTAACCGCTTGACCAGAGACCTGGCTACAGCTTCACGTATCCGGCAGATCAAAATGCGCTACTTCTGCCTTCTACCACGTGGGAGTTCACGGCGTTTCTACCACCATTTATAACTTTGTTTTTATATAATTTTTCCTAAATTACTTTTTTCTAATACTGTTTGTCCTAAATTTTTAAATTACTGCACAAACCTGGCAATATTTACCAAAACTGCAAAGCGCATTATAGAAAAAAAGTATATATATAGATGAGGGGTATGCGACTTAGACGTCTGTTTTCAATTAAATTCCAATGTTTTCACGCTAAATACCAAGGCACATTAGGGATATCATAAGAAACCGATTAAATATAGCTTTATAAGTTTCGAAATATGCTAAGAAAAATCTATTTTTATGGATAACAAAAAAATGGGGAAGTCTTAGATGATTTGAAATATAAGATAATTTTCATATGTCATAGAAGGATATACAATCAAAATTTTAGAGGAACAGACGGATATTGCTAGTTGTCCTGATCGGGAATATATTGAATTTATAAGGTGGAAGATACCTTCCACCTGTTACATTGATTTGCATAGAGTAGGAGAAAAATTCAATTCTTCAATAGTTAAATTATGTTTATTGTTTGCCAAGAAATTCTAGTTTCAATAAAAATCGTTAACTTTGTTGCATTCAATTTAATGGAACTTTGTTGCCAAAATTAAAACATTTTCACTCGATTTTTTTAATTTTTTGCTCAAGAACTTTTGACAGGCTTTGATGCCATTAAAGTACTGGAAAATCAGGGAATTGAAAACAATTGCTTAATGTTACTTAATGAAATGCACAATTTTAAAGAAAATTATTTAAATAAATACAAAAACAAATACAAAATACAATAAATTTCACATTTAGCATAACTATCCCATTTTTTGAGTCAAAGCATGTGATGCAGTTAATCATATTATAGAGTATATATATTCCCTTTCATTAAGTGTAAACACTTTTCCATGATATAAAGTGGATTACTTCATACTCTCCTTGTAGTGCATCTAGTGGTCAATCAATGAATAGTACATCACTTCTGCTTCCTTCAAATGATAGACTCATAAACAATGTAAAATGCAAGCACTCTATTTAAATGCTCGTTAAATGTTTTAAATTTAAAATTAAAGTTTTCAGATAACTTGCAAATGTTTGTAATGCATTCGGCCATTTGCCATTAAATCTAGCATGGCTTTGGGTTGAGTCCAGCCGAAAGACTCTTAATCAAATGAGATGCAGTGCAGCTCAGGGATTGTCCGGCGCACACACATACACAGATGTGTGTATATAGATCCGCTATTATTGGCTCTTGTGGCAGCTGCTCGATGTGTTTGTAGTTAACTGTTAAACACTCTTGTGGCCATAAAGCCGCACACATTAAATGCGCCGTCGAGTAGTTTGGCTTGTAAATCACATTGCACATACGCAGCGTGGGCCAAACGCAAACTTACTCTGCTATCTGTTGTGTGTGCCTGCGTGTGTGTATGTGTGTGTGTCTGTGTGCTTGTGCATTAGCTTGAGCTGCATTTTAATACACACAGCGCTAATAATTCACACAATAAGCTCGAAGGCAGGCAGGCAATGCCAGCGCCATTATTCATAGGACCGCCAAATAAGCCGCAATACAGTATGGGGATGGCAAGGCCAAGGTAGGGTATGGCAACCAGCTGAAACCGAAACATATGTCTGTTCAGGTACTATAATATTATCCATGGAGGAATGGGGCCAAAAATATGGCCAGCCTTAGTGCTGTAGAATCCAGCTTGGCATAATCGGGTAAGGCTTTGCAAAAGGGTTGGGTAAGGGTATCTGCGGGCTAGTTGCTCTACAAGCAGCTCCAACATGGCAGACAAACATACAGCCAGGGGGGAGAGGGGAGGGGGAGGGTGGGAAGGCGACACGTTTATAGCATTTGCCAATGCACAGAGTGCGCTTTTCACTTTTATTGTTGGTGTTGCCGTCGCTGCTGTTACCTGGTTGTTGGCAGAGTGTTTTGTTGCTGCTGGCTACAGCCGAGACTATATATCTGTCTGGGCTCTGGCTGTCGGCAAACAGGAGCTGCAGCAGCGGCAGCAGTGGCAGCAATCGTGGCAGGCAACAGCTGCAGCAGCATCTTACATTTATGCGCTTTGGTTAACTGAGTTTGCCAGAGTTTTCTGAGTTTGCTTTTTGTTTAAAGTTTTTATGACAGCTTGCTTCGTTTTGAGTGCCGGGTTACAACATGTGTTTTCTGTCCAGCTCACAAGTGTTGTGCACACACAAACACACACACACACACACGCACAACATCCGAAATGTATGTTTTCATTGCAACTTGTTTCTGGCTAAGGGGATTTACCTTGTGTCTGGGCTTTGCCGCCTGCTGTCAATTCAATTAATTATGAGCCATCGCTTTTCATTTGGGCAACCGTCAACAAAAAAGCGACCAACAAACAAAATGCCAATGAAATTTGCGTCTGACAAATTCCGCTCATCTGGTTTGTCGCCACAACAGGCACCAAAACATATCTATATATGTTGTGAAAATATGTATTGGCTGAGCACTCTGGTATTTTTCGATTTTATTGCTCAATGAATAGAGCTGCCGCAACAGCAGTGGCAAAGCGTTCAAAAATCTAGCCTGGATTGCATTAATGTGCGGTATTTAAATGCCTTGCGACCACAAAACAAAACACCAAGCAATGGCCAACGCCAAAAAGGGACATTTTGCATTTGCATGAAAAATGAAAAATCAGACATACACACATTCAGGCACTAAACGACTAGACGGGACAAACATCTCGTTGGCGCGACTAAAATATACCAGCACCTAGTGAATTTAAATGGGACCCGGCTACAGTTACTGTTACTGTTCCTGTTACTGTTACTGTTCCTGTTACTGTTATTGCTAATTAGCTTGTTAATGTTACTGTTACTGTTGCAGATACCTTTACAGTTACTGTTACTGACAATGTTACTGTTAGAGTTACCTTTACAGTTACTGCTACTGTTCCTGCTACGTTTACTGTTACTGTTATGGTATTTTAACCGTTACAGTTACATCTGTTATTTTAGTTCTTACTCCTGTGTTTTAAGCTTGATTTCTACTGTAAGCTGAACAGAACATTATACAATTCTGAAACCTCCGTCTTGTTATGTCCCCTTCGTATATTTTGTGCAATTAACAGTAGCGGAATATGTCAAGCTAAAATCAAACATCTGTTGTAATAACATTATCATTATATTCCTCTGTTATACTTTATTCAAAAGTCCCGATCATGAATGATTGGTGATGATAAACACAATTAAATCGGCATAATTTACTTGTGATATTATCTATTTTAGACTTTTCCTTTGTTTAAGTGTTTGTTATGCTTATAACTCTGTCATTAAAAATTGTACGGACCTAGATCAGTCCTGTTAAAAGCATTAAATAGTAGATATTAGTTAATGCATTTACTTGCAAGTAACGTTCTTTGTTAGCTGTATCTATTTCTAAGCGTCTCTCAAACATTGTCTCTATATTAAAAGTTCTCTCTTAGCATTAAACTCGTTAAGTTAATACAAGTTACTTGTATCTCTTTATGCGTTTTTTGAGAGCTTCTGTTAATTACCCTTTTAATGATCACTTTCATCTTCTTTACTATAAACTAACTTAGTCATGTTTAACTAGTCTACCAAACGTTTAAAGCCACTTAAGCCAGCCATATATACCCTGTTAATAAATTGGTGCGGCTATTGGAGCCCGTTTGGGTCAGAAATTGGAGCCGGGACCAGACCTAAGCAGATACATTTGGTTCACATTGCTGTTGTTGCTGGACACAGGCCCAAAAAACAGGCGACGAGCAACGCACAATTCGAATTGTTTGCCCTTTGTCAGCAGCAACTAAGCCCCAGCTTCATGTGTGTTTCCTGGATTTGTGTGCTTGTGTTTATGTGTGTGTGTACGTGCGGTTCTCTAATGCATGTGCTGTGAAATTTTGTGATTTATGACATTAAATGCACAAAAATGGGATTTTATACGAATTTAATGGGTTTTTAGTGTATTTTAATGTGATCCATTTGCGGAAATTTGCAGATTTTCAAGCATTTGCCAAAAACATTTACAACAAATTCATTTCAAAGCTTCAGCTTTACATTTTTATTTGCAATATGAATTTCCGACAAATTTTGTGATTTAATGCGCCAATTCAAGTTGAATCCTACAATGGGATTAAATGAAGTATAGATTCTTCTGAAGGGTTGTTTCACAAAAGCTGGCGTTCCACATTGAAGGTAAGGCTGAGGCCACCCACAAACTTATATTGCTTATAGAATCGTAGATTGACTTTAATACCACCGATGGGTATTATACCCGGCCAGTTATCGCTGTTTATCAGCACATTTTTCACGTAATACGTACCCTGGGATAGAGGACAATCGCCGCCAGATTCGTATTCTCAGCCCCGAACAGATGTCCATAATGGGTACAAAGAATAATTTGGACATCGGGAAAATCAATATATTGCTTCTCGGTGCTTTCCAATGCCTCAAATTTTATAATTTTCGCCGTATAGATATAAACCCCCTTTAAAATGTAAATTATAAGTAGATTTTAAGTTGTTAGCAATGCGTATTTCTTACCAAGCTCCTCGACAGGTTGGCTCCCAACAGCAACAGTTTTAGAATAAGCGCTGCTGCCAACCCCATGCTGGAGTTTGGTAATTGAATCGTTAGCTCTGGCATATTTATATAGCTATTAATTAAATGGTTTTCCATGTTTTCATATCGCATTATCGCATCATTTAATAGCTGAATTGCACTTTAAATAATTCCAATTTATTATTAATTACACACACTAAACGCTGGTAGATTATCTCTTCTTAAAATGTATTATATGTTATATAAGCTCTTTTGATATTCCTGTAATAAGTCCTCATCCCTTCATATGTGCTTCCCGTACAATTAAAATATTCTAAAAGCAATAACATTTCATGGCTCTGTTATGTGGCTCTTAGCTAATAAAAACTAAAATTGACAGAATGTGTATTATGTTACGCCTTTATTTTCAACATTTCTGTATGGACACTTCAGAGAACTCTATTGGAAAATTGACCTTTTAATTGTTTTCACATTAACATGATTAGGCTCGTTTACATATCTTTGCTTATTTTGTTATTTATTTATCCATTATTTATTATTCATATATTCACAAAAATTGCCTGTTTTGCTCAAGAGAGTATATAAGGTGATTGTTGTTGTTTGGATCATGGAGAAAATCGACTGACAATTGAAAATGTTCCCCATCCATATCTTCGAGTAAGTCGACTGTTCCATTTAGAGAGCGTTCCCGGCCAACAACACGAAAATCAACGAGTAGTTCCTCTTCCGCTGCCAAAGCATCAAATTACACTATTTGCATGCTGTATTTAAATAATCCCTAAATTTGTACAATTTAAACATACTTTTATTGCTCTTGAAGACTATTTCAGACTTACCTAAGTCCATAATAAGTTTACTCTGAACAGCATTAACTAGAGAAGTAACACAGCAGACGACGTCATGTTGGGTTTTGAATATTGAATCGTCAGGTTTGGCATTTTTATATGGCAACTAATTAAATGTTTAAATGTTTTTCATATCTAATCGCATCATTTAAATGCTTAATGTGTGCAATTTTGTATATGCACGCAAAATAATTGCAATTTATAACTAATTACTAAACCTAAATGCCGGCAGTTTATCTCTTATTTAAATGTATCAAATTGTGTTTTTGTAGCGCTCAACTTCTAATTAATGAAAATTACATATGTTATACGAATCGACACATCTGCAAGCAATCATTGTCTTTCTATATCAAATTTGAGTGCCAATTACATTTTGTACAGATATGAAAATTTAAAGCCATTTGAACAACAGACAAACAAGATAACTCTATGGAATAGTTAGCATTCAGCTTACAGTAAGATTCCCAGAAACTGTTAAAGCCGCATATTAAACTTTAATTTATTTCAAAACTTTGATTAATTTTTAATAGCAAATATTACCAATTTTGCTCAAGAGTGCATATTGCGTAGGGTAACTAAGGGTGTTATATATAGAGTTACAAAAGTCGTGGCTCCATAACAGTTTTACAGCAGGCACCTTCTATAGACTTGCCATTCTTATAGAATCGTTAATTGAGCTCCAGTCCGCCAAATTTTATTAAATCCGGCTAGGTATCGGTATTTAGCAACATATTCCTTATATAGTATGTGCCCTTGGGCAATGGACAGCTCTTTCCGTCGAATGGTAAGTTCGTATTTTCGTCCATTCGGAAAGTCGATTTGGCAAACGTTCCTATGAACAATTTCATTGCTCTACAAATATTCGATGGGAACATGGTGAAGCGCAGGTTTCCACCGACCATGTCTGTTTGCATCATAGCGAAAATCTAAAGAAAACTGAAAATTTTCATCATCCATATCTTCGAGTATGAAGACTGTTCCATTTAGTGCTCGATCGCGACCCACAAGACGAACATCTCGAAAGTCAATAAGTAGTTCCTCTTCGGCTTCCAAAGTGTCAAATTGCAACATTTGTACAGTATACTTGGATAAGCCCTTAAATAGGAAATATTTTAGATAGATGTACTGCTTAGGTAGACTAATTTCAAGGCTTACCGTACTGCATAGTAAGTTGGCTTTTAACAGGATCAACTGGAGAATTAACGTAGCTGACAAGTTCATGTTGTTTTCTGTTAATCGAATAGCTCGGTGCGACTTAATTTATATAGCTCTTAATTGATAGGTTTCATGTTTCGTATATCTGATCACGTTTTTAATTGGATAAACCTTGCATTCTAATACAAAATAACTTCCTATTGCCACTAATTAAGCAAATCAGTTAAATTATCAGACGATTTAAAAATCAGCTTATATAAAGTACTATCAAACACTCAAATGTTGCCCCACCTTTTGACTAACTAATTTTTTAGAACTATATTGTACAGTTCAAATACTTTATAAGCTGTAAAATGTCATGAATATATTAAATTGCTCTCAGCCCAATTATGTAAATAGCAATTAACATAATAACACTATGTTAATGTCTTCTGCTACAATGTTTATAATCTGTTAGCTCTAACCGTAATTTTGTCTGAATTATATGCATTTTATGTTATTTTATAAGTATTTCTCACAAATGTTGATAATGCAAAGACGATTTATTTAAAGAACTTTTATCGTAGATTTATATTAGTTTGCGCTCAACAATAGCTCTACAACTAGCACCGCCTACAGACTTGCCGAGCTTATAAAATCGATAATTGAGCTCTATCCCACCAGTTGGTATTATATCCGGCCAGGTTTCTGTGTTCATCAGCAGATTCCTAATATAGTATGTGCCCTTGGGCATTGGACAGCTCTTACCATCAAATGGTAAGTTCGTTATCTCGCCCAGTCGCAATGTCGACTTCGCATACGTCCCAATATACCTTTCCATTGCCCTACAAATATCCATAATGGGTACATTGTAAAGAATTGGTCGCCACTGGCCATTGTTGTTTGGATCACTACGAAAATCGACTGACAATTGAAAATTTTTGCCATCCATGTCTTCGAGAATGTGGACTGTTCCATTTAGAGAACGTTCGCGGCCCACAACACGAACATTACGAAAATCAACAAGTAGTTCCTCTTCGGGCTCCAAAGTATCAAATTGCACAATTTCCACATTGTATTTGTATCCCTTAAATAGTAACAATTAATAAAATATTTATTGTCTTTGAAGATAAGTTTCTTAGCTTACCCAACTCCAAGATAAATTGGCTCTTAACAGAATTAACTGTAAGGCAATCGACACCGACAAGTTCATGTTTCATTCTGTTAATTGAATTATTGGTTCGAGTGAATTTATATGGTTCTTAACTGAAAGGTTTTCATGTTTTGTACATCTGATATTAAATCTTTGCAACTTTGTATTCAAGCACAAATAAATGCATATTGCCACTAATTACCAATTCAATCCAATAATGAGAATATAATCAGCTCATAAAAGTACCAGCATGTGCAGACAATTACCCAACAATCTCTTGTTAATCAACCTTTTTGCTGGCGGATTCATTTTTTCGAACAATATTTCAAATGTTGCCACAGATAAAACAAACGCTTTTTTAATTTTCAAAATTTGAAGGCTTTGGTTTGCCCCCAATAATGTAAAAAGCAATTGTCATTAACTTTTTTATATCGGTATTATAGTTTTTTTCGAATGAATGTTAACTTTCTGTTAGCACTAACTTTCCTTGCTATGTTATTAAAAGAGCGCGTATGTGATGTTTCTTAACAGAAGCTGTGTATGTTAATTTGCGTCAAAATAGTCAAGTTGTGTTTCTCGATTATTTTATTATGTCAAAAGCATATATTTACAGATAATTATATTATTTATAAAACATAGTTTATATATTATTATTTTATTTTGTTATATAAAATACCATATCGACAAATAAATTATTTAGTTTACATTTATGGTAACTAAAAGCAAATTTTCGTGAATTCTATTTGAATTTACCAAAGTTTCTTCTCAACATTGTTGTGCTGTTAAGCAACAGATTCGCTGTAAAGAATGAATCCTTTAGCAGCGGGCACAGCTAACCATCGAATGCACATTCGTGTTCAAACCCAGCTGCTTTCTCGATTTGCCCTAGCTGCCAACAAAGAATCTCATTGCATAACAGATGCCCATAAATGGCATAGCGAATATCATTGGCTTCCATTGGCCATTATTGGTCGGATCGCTAACATTTGGCACGTTTACGTATCCATATCCTCGAGTGTGTGTATGAAGCCTTAAGTGCGCGTTCACGTCCAATAATGCGAGTGTCCTGAAAATCAATAACCAATTCCGTTTCAACTTGCAGAATGCGTAGGGAAACCTTTTTAAATAAAAAAATATACCCTTCAAGAGCTGTTGCTTATTTTAAGAGCCATTTTTCTAGTCTTAACCAACTTTTAGACACCAGCGGAGAACTTCACCTTGTGCAGTGGGCATCAGGTATGCCTGAGTCTGGCATATTAATTTATAATAATTAAACTGTCATCATTGCCTTTGCCAACCCTGATCGCATCATTTAAATGCTTAATTTGTGCAATTTTACATGCACAAAACGTACTAATTACAATTTGCTTTAAGCCTAAATGTTGTTATTAGCTTATCGTTAGCGATATTAATATGTAATGAATTCGAATCATTAAATCATGCATGTCATGTACAGTTTTGGCCAACGTATACGTAATATAACGTATACGCCAGAGCACACAACAGCCATATGCACTACCAATTTATGGCTTCAATAAACATAAAGTTCATAAACTCCCAAGGCGTCGTTGCTCATCATTTGCAGCGGATTGTCAGGGGTAACAGCAGCAGCAGCACAGCGATGCTGCTCGGTCAAATAAATAATGAAAAAGAAAAGTGATGTCATAAAAATTTTATCTCTTAACTGGAATTGAGCAGCATGAACAAGCAGCAACAGCAGCAGCAGCAGCAGCATCCACTGAGGCTGCAACAGCAACACAAAAGCATAAGCAGCAACAATACTGCGCGCACACACACACACACACACATACACAGAAATATGATGCTTGGTCATTTTCATATAAAAATTGACAATGGCGTTGGCCCTTTTACCGCGCTCTGTGTGTGTGTGTGTGTGTGTTTGTTTGCTGGCAAGCAAGTGGAAAATGCGACAAAAGTGAGGCAGACACGGCGCGATAAAAGAACGAGTTCGACTACAAAATGCACACGGCATGAGCTTTGCCAGCCAGAGTTGTATAATAGCACAGCACGACAACAACAACAACAAATGTAAATACAACAACAACAACAACAGCAACAGCTCTAAGAACAACAACAACAACTACATTCAGTTCCACACAAAGCTGAAAAGGCGTCTGAGCTGCGATTGTACTTGTTGTTGCTGTCATATGTCTGTTTTTACAAAAATCTGCAATATGCAGCTTTATAGCAAAATACTATAAAATGCTCAAACACACCTTCACGTTTAGGAATTATACAAAACTCTCGACTGAACTGAGTTCAAGCTGACTACTTCAAACTCAACTCCAGAACTACACTCTTTCAATATGGAATAAGTGAGTGTAACTATGCGGCGAATGCTGAATATTAAATACTCTCACGTATTTGATTTATTTATATAACTTCTTTTTATGGAAAATTGAGAATTAACATAACAGGGCCTGAGTAGGTAAATATAGGGTAAGGGTTGTTTTAAATACACATTTGAAGAATACAAATTCCTTTTTTGTTTAACTACAGGATAGCAAATTAAAATCCAACTTTCAATAAATGTTGGCATAGCATCATGTTGCCAAACAAGATTTTCTTAAGGAACAACTAACTTTTAGTCAGTTTGCTAATATGAAAGTAAGAACAAATCAGAATGCTTTTTTAACAGCTATAATTATAATAAATATTATTAAATAGGTATAAAAAATTGATAAATATGTCACAGATATGATGTAACTTTATACTATATATCTACCATATAATAGTAATTTTATAATAGGCATAAAAATCAATTAAAGCCACAATTAAATTGAACTCAAGGCTGTGAACTCAGACATTTTCTGATAGGATATTCAATTCGATAGATTTATAGAAGCTATGAATCGAAATATTTAACTGCATTTCTCTATCTGACGAATAGTCAAGCGAACCCTAAAAAGCATTTAAAGATTTCTGGCTATCTTTTTTTTGGGGTATACAAAAGAGTTTTCAGTTGTTATATAAGGCGCTTTCGACAGCTTTATGCACAATTTGTTCTGCACTTGTTTGGCTTATATATCCCGCCTTTCAGCTTGCAGACTGTGAAACTAAAAACTGCAAAACTGTTTTTCCTATCAAAACAAAATTCGAGGCGAGCAAGTTAAACTGCATAAGATGAGCCCAAACATAAAATGTTCAAAATGTTGCTTAATTTCAATTTAAATTGCATTCAAACAGAATAAAAGTTGCTTAAAGGGCCACGCCCCGTGCATTGGAACTTTCGCTTTTGACTTTCACCTGAGCAACAGGAAAATAATAAAAAGAAAACAATAAAAATAGAGAGGTAGAGGAAAACTCAGTTGCAAGTGTGTAAGAAAATGCGTAAGCCTAAACTCATTTCCCAATTTGTTGGCATGAAACGCTTTTAATGTGAAAACTTTGCCCGTCCCCAACAACAGATGGCGCTGGCACGTGGCAGGCGGCTGTCCGGGCACTGTAACCAGGTTGCGCTTGCCTCATTCTATCCTTTTCCATTACCCCGCCTCCCCCCTCGCACGATGATTAAGTTGCAAAAGTTGGGCAAATTTTTGGCAAACAACGCGCACCGAGCCCCAAAAACAAGCAAAGTTCAAGTTGTGTAGGGCAAATGCAATCAAATGTAAGTACAACAACTGCAACAAGGTTTAAACTGGATTTTTGAGAATGTCGGGAAGAGGCTCGTTTGGGTGCAGGAGGCGTGGCAGGAGCTGTGCCGTGTAGTTAGCTGTGTTGCTGGGGCAAACAAAATATTGAATATGATTTGCAAACACATGCGCCACCTCCCCGGCTCCAGTCGCTGTTTGGGCTCCATCTTCAATCAATA